GGTTATTGTGGTATTTTTTTTTTCTGGCAGTGCTTTATGTATCTAGGCAATCTCCGAATTCTTTGGTGGTTCCTGTCCCTGTTCTTCCCCCGCTTTCCCAGCCTAGTGATGGACTCCTTTGATTTTTTCATATTAGAAGGTTAGGTCTATACCATTGGTGTCCTCCTTTAAATGCATCTCAGGATACCTATCACATTATTATGCTCAGCTTTGCCTAAGACCAACTGGCATGGGATTATCTTGGGTCATCCAATTTACCTAAAACAAGGTACCAGAGAGTCTTTCCTTCTCATTGTGTCTTTAAATCTGACTGCAATATTTTCCTTTTTTTTTTTTAATCTTTTTTTTTCCATTTTTCTTGTCAGTTTTTGCCAGCTTCTCATTTTCTAAATTAGGGATTTACTTTTACCTTTGGGATGCTTCACAAGCTGTTTCAGTCTCTCCTGTGAACTAGCCTTTTGGCAGAATAACGTAGCTTTTTTTCTTTGCCAGCTGTGATTTTTGGTGGATCAAGAAGATAGTTGTTACATGACTTCCCATTATTGGCCTTTTTCACTCATCGTGCCCCACCAGGCTCTGTGGAATTGGCTTTTTGAGAGTATTAAGTTTGTATATTCCTGGTTTGGTTTTTATTTTGTGTGTGCATACCATGTAATCAGATCACTTGCACTTAAACAACCATTACTGTGTAGTCTGTAATCATTTCTTAATTGATCAAGGTCCAGTCTTGTGTTAAATTAAAAAAAAAAAATTGTATTGAGGGACTTAAGAAAGCAGTGCTTTCGTAATTCCTGAAAATCAGAAATGGAGACCTTGAGTTTATCATTCAGACTTGAGTCTTCCTTGTTGGTTCAGTGCATCCGTAGCCTGATTTGATGCTCTGTAATAGATCCCAGCTGGTATTTCATCGAGCTTTTAGTCCAGCCTATTATTTTGCTTGTCAAACATTGATCCATAAGCAGTTCTATGGCGGAGCTGGGCTGATGTACTAATACAGCTTAATTGTTCAGAACATAATTTGTTATTTTTGTCATAGAAAGTTAGAGTGGGTAAGACCAAAGGGTCATGTAGCTCCATAGCCTGTCCATATCAAAAACATAGAAATGGGGAAAATATAGTGGCAGAAACCCCCCTGTTATTGTTAAACTGTGTGGGTTGTCCTCCATGACCATACAGAGTATTTAATTTTCAATTAGACCTTTTCAGTCCAGCTTCAGGGGGCAAAAGTATAAGTAAGTGTGACTTATATTGCATTCCCTCTATATATACACATATCTGATCTTACCCAGGGGTGTGGATGTGTAGGTATTCACGCATGTATATGTGAGTGTGTGCATATATAAAAATATGCATGTGTGTGTGTATATCGATATAAAGAGATGTATATCTCCCTGGCAAACAGTGCAGACGTGGCAGCTTCAAAATCAAGCTCGTGCTCTAGCCAGCAGTGTTTGCTGCTGCTGAAAGTCCTGTAGGAGCTAAACTTCATGAAATGCCTTTGGAGGATTGTAATTAAATCTACTCCGATACTCTGCAAGAGAAATGGGTATTTCACAAGGTGGTTTTCAGAGCTGGAGATAGAGGGTGGAAAAGTTTAAACCGTTTCCTTTGGGATATTTTCTCTTGCTTTCTGGCTGTAGTTCTGTGGTCTGTTTTCATTCTTGGTGTGGAAAATTCTTGGCTGTGCGTTGGTGCCCTCGTCCTGCTGGGTCATTTCGACTGATGTTGGGGACTGCCCTCTGGAAAACGTAACTGATATGGCAAGGAGAGGTTTCTTTTAACCTGAATATTGGAGTTCTGGGCTCCGGTCCCACAAACAAGTGTTGTAGCACAGGTGCAAAGTCAATGAGCTGCGGCACGAAAGCAGAACTTTGCAAAGGAAAGCCCTGGTGCCAAAGACAACGGTTAGGAGGACTTACCCCCTCCTTGCCACTTTAGCAATGGAAATCAGGCACGAAGGACTTGGCTATGCCATGCTCAAGTGCTCCAGTTTAGTTATACTACACTGCTAAGTTGTGTTAAGGAAGCAAAAACTAAAGATATGAAGAAGAAAAGTCTTTCCCTCCCTTTCCTTTTTCCTCCTTTTCCCCACTTTCCTCCTTTTTTGCCAGAGAAAACAATTTGCTCTCTGATATTCCACTTCCATGCAGAAATACTAATATATATGCATTTTCCTCTTCACTTATGTTGTATAAATGCTTTTTTTTTTCCCCAAAAAACCTATCCCCAGTTCTTTTCTTTATACTTTAGTTTAGGACCAAAACACCGTGAGTGTAGGAGGAAGAAGATGTAATTCAGAGTCCTTTTTTCCCTTTTCTTCATGAAATAAACTGCACCTTTCGGAGCAGGCTGATGCCCTGGGTAAGCTGCAGCTCCTGCCCCGCAGCCCGGGGCCCTGGGTGGCTGCTGGCTGCTTATTCTGTCTCCGCAGCACTAGATGGTGCTGACGGCAGAATCTCCGAGCTGCGAGGCCTCAAAAATCCCAGCGCTTCCAAAAGTAGCGCTGCTATTTCAGGTGAATGACCAGTTTTCAAATCCACACTCCAATTCGAACAGAAATTTCGCTCTGTGAATACAATAGCTGATTATGGAGAGGAAAAGGATGGGAATCTATTAATATAGCGTATTTCTTTGTTGTCTCTTCCCCTTCTAACGGGGAATGTGCTCAGGGGGTTGATGAATAGCTGCGCGTTAGTGGGAGGTCGACATTTGTTCGCAGGAATTATGTCATGTCAGGGCAGCTCGTGGTTCTGTCTGGTAGTGTAAAGGAAAGCAGAAGATCCTGATGCTGGGACAAAGCAGGTTTCCTGGTCTTGCCCTTTTAAAAAAAGGGGTTCCTGACACTTGTGGGGCATGTTGTGTTATCCTGAAAGCCTCAATGTTTCTCAGCTCTTAAAACATCACATAGAAGAATCATTGTGGAGTTTTGCTGGACGCCCAGGCCACATCAGCCCAAGCACGGCGATCGCCTCCTCGCTGGCAGCATCCCCATGAGTCTTGGGCGCTCGCAGCCACGGGGCCATCCCTGTTTTGGCCGTATGGTCTTGAGCACGTGGCTCAGGCTGTCACATTCCAGTTCTCCAGCTGCACCTTGAGCATGGTGCAACGTGTTTCTGGGGGCTCTTGGGCGGGTTCATTGGATGCCTTCAGTGCAGCAAAGATTGTCCTCAGCGTAAGTTCTTTCTCTAAGAGAAACCCAACTGAAGAGGGACTGGAGAGTGGTAGGATCTCTTGACTTGACTCTTAAGAGCTAAGATTTGTTCTTGAGAAACATAACTGATTCGCTGTGACTTCCCGCAAGGCGCATCGGAAAAGCTCTTGCCTTTTCCTGAGACCCTTGACTAACAATAAGGGGACAAATCCCTGCTGCTCCGGGGAACTTACTCCTACGTGCCACGAAGGCCATGCTAGCAATGTTACGTTTTAAGGAAGTAAAAAATAAAGGCGACTTCCTCAAATTCTGAGCGTTTCTTTGGGCTGAAAAGCTTTCCAAGCACATTCCTCAGAGCACTGCATTTGGCCCAATTCCAAGAAATATAGGCGATCTACAATACAATACTGCCCCTTATTTTTTCAATTATTAAGCTGGCCTCAGTCTTTCCTAACTCAATCTGATGAACAAGGAGCCTGCTACTGCCCCTGTCCCAGCAGCAAGTATAACCCAATGGTAGAAGAGCAATACATTTAAGCATTAAGGATATAGTTGATGTTTGTTTAGCAAGAGAGCTGCCTTGCCCTCTAAGGACTGTTCCAGTTAGTCTAGGGAACTCTGGCTCCAGAAACATCCCACATTTGAAATGCAGGAAGCCTTGAATCGATAACCTATACCAAGGGTGGGGAAATATTTCTCACAAATATTATCATCATGGTTTCTGCACACAGGAAAAAGCATTTTTATAAGCAAGCATTCCAATTAAGGTAGAAAGCAACGGAGAGATTCAGCCAGCAAGGTAGTATCTGCTCGAAGTCTCGGAAGAATCAGGAGAAAGAACATCTAGAAGCCTCACAGATCCACGCTCTGGAATAGACCGTTTGGGGAGAAGCAGATTGCCCCCATTTTTCCTGGTGGAAAATACAGACTCTGTGCAGCTTGATTGTTTTCCAGAGATAACTAGCATCTTTCCCAGACTCACTTTAAGATTATTGCAAGAAGGGCCTGTCCTGGGTTGCATTTATGAAGCCCCACATATCAATTTCAGTGTTTAATCGAACAGTTTCAATGTTTCAATGTTTGATGCTATCTTGTGAAGTCTGTGGTTGCAGCCCATATAAATATATAAATGCTGTGTAACATCTGAGGATGTTGTTATTTGTATGAATGGCACAAAAGAATTACAGTGAGATTTTTTTTTTTGATGATGTGGGATTGCTAACTCCATCAAATTAGGTTTTTTTTTTTTTTTTTTTTTTTTTGAAAAAGACATGGTCTTTCCAAAATGCATGGAAAAAATATCTTTATTTCTCTCCATGTGTGTGGACCTCTGACTTCAGATTTGTAAAACTCACGTGATACTTCCCTGACTAGAGCTAAAATAAATTTGAGAAATACACATAATAATAAAATGCATAAACTCAACCCCTAAATAATTCTACCTCAGACTCGGATGCTTTCTATATTGAACAATTAGGCCACTGAAGTCACAAGTACTAATGATAAGGAAGGAAAATAAGTGTATTTGATGAGATGCTGAACTTAAAAATTGCATTTTAATGAATATGTATCGGTTATGAAATTAAAAGTATACCATTAATTCTGTTATAGTTTGAATTTGAAGAACTATGGAAGTACGTTGTTCTTCCTATCATTTACTGTATAGAGTATCTATAATTCTGCTGCTGTTTCTCAGATGCAACTATTGTGCATTGCGTTGCATTTCTGAAGAAACCTCTTTATTCAAATTTATGTATACAATGAAATATCTCTTCTGCCTGGATTGTCCTATCTGAGCATATTAACTGTGAATTTATTTGAATATTTTTTCTCTTTTTTTTTTTTTCAGTTTGTTTTCTTTATTATCCAAAAAACACAACAAAGTTTTGGAGCAAGCCACGCAGTCCCTAAGAGGTTCCCTCAGTTCAAATGACCCTCCACTTCCCGATTATGTGAGTATTGAGCCTAATGTTCTAGTAGGTGCTTCAGAATAGGAGGGGTACATCCCCAAAGCGGCCAAGATTTATCAAAATGTGACAACTAAGCAACCACCAGCAGCAAAATACAGGAACGTCTGTGAATGACATCATGTCTGAAACTTTGCTTTAAAAAAAAATTACACTTAGAAATGGCAAAACCGCAACTACTCATAGCTGAGAAACTTACTGTGCACTGTCTTCTTGCTGTTTCCAAAGCATTTGCATTTCAAGGTATTTATACCATGCAGTTAAAAACATTATTTTTAAGAGTATCACTTTGGTGTTTTCAGTATGGTGACAGGCCTAAATATGACTGAGAACAACTCCCAGTGAGCATTTGAGAGAGACATCCTGGGTCAAATTCAGGATGTTTGTGTATGCACAGGGCTCCTGCCAGTCTTCCAAGCCATTATCCACACGTAGTCCGTGATTTTGTAATTTAATTGCATGGTTGTTGGAAAATCTCTAGGTTCATTACGAGACAGAGACTTGTAAGGACTTAATATATTTGTACTACTTAAGTGTCTTTGGTTTATGCTCATTTGAACTTTCATATAATAATGTCTAAAAAGTTACCTTTTTTTTTTTATTGGTTACCCTATATTTTTGAGAATAGAAATGTAACACCTATTTTATTTTGAGAGTTAAAACATGTTCTAGGACACACCTGTCTGAGACTTTACATATTATATTACCCTAGCATTCAAGTTGGTTATAGAAGTTCCTAAAATAAATTTAAAAAAAAGGAATAATCTTATATAATAGTTTAATAACTTTGATTCACCTAACTGGGTTCCTTAACCTGCAGCTCTTAGTTACTGCTGTCAGCATGCAACGTAGAAACTAGAGGCCTTTTGCTCCTTGGAGACAGGCTGGTTTATAGAGCAAATGAATCACTTGCAGCTTTTTCCTCTGTATCCTTGCTACCTTATCTTGTCTTAAATCATAATAAATTCCTTAGCGCACCTGTAATTTTAGGGCCTCTCAGAAGCTGCTGTGTGACCTTTAATTTCTCTGCTGGTTCGGAATCCCAGATGTTCCAGAAAGACGCCCCTCACACGCATCTGTATTTAAAGAGTAGGAGTTGGTTTCCATGCCAAAATGATGTTGCTTTGGAGTAAGCAGGGACATTTGGGGACGTTATGCTTGTGTCAGGCACCTTCTTCTATGCCTCAAGAGTAAGGCCCAAGTTTTTAGCCCTCATTTCTATTCCTACTGCAGGGACTACAGTATGACGTGGCCTGTTGCTTGAGGGAGGATATTGGTTTCATGAAGAGAGACCCTTAGATTTGCTCCCCTAGGCAAACAAGTCATCATCTCAAAGCTCAAAGGAAAGAAGACTGCATGATGCACACATATATATTCATGTATTCCTCCATACATGCACTTAATAGGCACATCATGTATGCATATGTATTTGCACTTGCGTGCGCATATATGTTTGCATATATAGAGACAAGTATGTGAAAGTGTATGTTAGATGGTGCAAGAATGCCCTAAGAAGCTTAAGGTTTGTAAGTCCTAGGAAATGAGAAAACTGAAGTACAGAAACTTTTAATGACTAAAAAGGGATTTTCTCTATCTCTCTGTTCCATGGCTGTCTGCCAACATGGCACCAATAGATAAATAGAACAGAAATGATGCTGAGATTGCCTTCTCTCCTGCAGATTTATGTCCAGAGTTTTCAATCAGCCCAAGCATTAATATGTTTTAAACATGCATTCTCCTGATTTTTAATTCATTTTTATACATGACATTTCCTTATTGTGTTCTCTGATGGCAAAGTGAACTTGGATGGTACAAAGTGTGCATGGGAGTAAATCATACATACTATTTGCTTCGCCATATCGCTCGTGGTCCTTCGGTGAGTATCTCCTGATGACTGCCCTCAGGTCTCCAGTGATACCAACACAGCCGTGGGCTTCTTGCTGTGAACAGGAATAAGGAACTGGGCCAGCTTGGTTTTATATTGTGCTTGTCCGTGGAGATGTTTTCCATGTGCCTGTGAGGAAGAGCTTGTTTGGTGTGAGGGTGCCCAGCCCTGGCCCAGGCTGCCCAGGGAGGCTGCGGAGGCTCCTGCTCTGGAGATCTCCCAACCCGCCGGGATGTGACCGGGTGCCCCGAGCTCTGGGTGTCCCTGCTGGAGCAGGGGGTGGAATGGATGATCTCTAGAGGTCCCTTCCAACCTCAACCATCCTGGGATTCGGTTGTGTCAGGGCTTTGGGGGACTCTAAAAATGAAAAGGGTAACAGATGAGGGTGGTTTTGCTTATTAATGCTAGGAAAAGAGAGGACTGGTTCCTTGGACTAGTTCCCTGGTCCTAAGCCCCAGTTAGGTGTAGTTAACACAAAGCAGTGGAGCGTGGTGGCCTGGTGGGGACAGGGACATGACAGCAGTGCAGGATGATACAGCCCAAGGCAGCCAGAAGGGTGGCAGGGGGAACCCCATGTGCTGTATTTTTGTGCCAAAAAACTGTGTCATGAAATAACCCCCCTCCTGAGACACAGGCTACTTGGTTGACCAGTTCCGAGTCTATGCCGTGCTGGTACTTTGCTTACTAGTCATTTAATAAGTTTCTTAATAGGCAACGTTTTTGTGGGAGCAGTTACTGATGTCAACGTAGCGCGATTAGGGCAGGCTGGCCCTGGCTGCAGGTATCTCCAGACTTGAAGAAATGTGAAAAATCCAATTAGACTGCTTATAGCTTTCTTGCATACAATGTTTATTATTTTAAATATATCCATTTTCTTTTTTTCTTTTTTCTTTTGTACATCCCAATGTAATTTGTTAAATCATTGATATAATAGCCTAACCAGAGGCACGCTGACTTCCCATGGAAAGCAGCGCATCAGACCTGCTTTTGGAGCTGCAGTATGCCCAAACTGCTGCTTTTTAAGGATTTGTTAGCATTGCATAGGAGTTTCGAGCACTTCAGCACTTGCACCACAGCTGGCCATAGGGATCCTCCTTAACAGCTTGTTTGGAGGGAGGGAGGAATTGCAAATTTCGGCAGGCTTATACCAAGTGTTCACAGTTCTCTGCCAGGTGCAGTATAAGAATTTATTTTACATAGAGTTTGAGGAAAATAATTTGACAAGCGTCATCGGTTAACTCTCCAATATATACGTGGCTATGTAACTTTGCTTTCTGAATTTCTTTCAATGTAAGTGAATGCAACGCAGACAGGACGCTTTATGGCAGTAGGAGCTCAGCCTTGTCTTCATGGCAGTGGACTTGAGCCCTTCGTTGAATGAAGACTCCTTGGAGCGTGTTTGCACACTCCTTCAGCACCCATGGTAGGGTCTGCAGTTCAGAGCACCCAGGCACTGCTCTCTGCTGGGAGGCCTCAATTCCAGTTCTTTATTTGCTGGTTAACTAGGTACCTTCCATGGGGATTTTACCTGCTGCCTGCCATTAGGTAATTAAACAGTATGGATCAAAAATTGATTAGGTAAGATGACTGCTAGCCACAGAGAAAAATCTATGAAAAATAAAAATAAATAAAATAAATATAATTATATTTATTTAATATAAATATAAATAAAATAAATAAATAAAATAAATAAAATAAAACTTTATAAAAAATTCCATTGAATTTTTTAAATTTCCTAAATTTTGGCTATAAAAATCAAGCGTATTTTCTGTTCCAAATGGAACTTGAACAGGAAAGATTTTAAATATAATTCACTTTAGTGCTGAGACCTACAATTATTCCATATACCAGGCTGTCACTTGAGCACTTGAACGGTGCGGGGTGGAAACTCCGTGGCGGAAGAGGCGCAGTGCAGCTGTGCTGTACTGCTTATAAAAATGTGCTCCTGGGCGGGTGCTCTCTGAGTTAGCTGAGGTCCAGAAGCAAGTGCCCGTTGCTGATTTAGGGGGAGATGCTGGGGGCCGGGGTGCAGGGGGCGGGCAGGGATGGCCGCGGGGCAGAGCGTGGTGGTGCTGCGAGTGCTCCCGTTTCCCCAGCTCCTTCCCAATCCGGTTAAACTCACCTAGGGAAGCCTGGGATTCGCAGGGGATTCTTCTCGTGCACTAATAAACAGAACTGCATTTTGCCTTTGTGCAATTCCGTATTTCTTCCTCTTTTCCTTTGCAGTTTTTGCTCTGTCACAGGCTAAATGAAGTCTGATATTTAGATTCCTCTTAGATTTTTTTTTCTTTTTTATCCTCGATTTATATGGTCAATAGAAAGCAGCTGTCTGTTTAAGCATCTAATTCTTGAAACTCTTCGGCCCCTCAAGCGTCATCTGGAAATAATGTAGCTTGTAAAACAAAGCTAAGAAGAAAAAGCAATGTTTGTTTTATGTGGGATGAATGACTTCAGTTGGGGTCCTTCTAATTTGGCCATTATGAGGGTTATTAAAAAGCAGTATTACAAAAGTGGTTTCAAAAAAAAATTCTTTTTTGGTAAGTTGTATCTTGTTATTAGAGTTGATTATATTCAACGCTGCAAGTATTTCATAAATCCCTCATTGCAGTTTCTCCCATACAGACCCAAGCTAATCTCTGCTATAGGTGGTGAATGACTCCCATGTTTCATTTACTATCTAGAAAGCAACAGTGTTATAAGTAAGGTATAAGGTATAAATAAGCTATACGTATTTATCTTGTAAATTTGGGATTGCTAAAGAATAGTTGAAATAAGGTCTGTGAGCTAGAGTATTAGGCATCTTCTAAACACAGTGAAACAAATCCAAAAGCTCTAAATTCAAGAGTTTCAATTCTATTGCAGTGGATGGAGGATGACAGTCCCATACATCCAAAAAAATGAAGTAAGCTTTATTTTCAGCATTTGCAATTTAGTCACAACTTTTCTAAACAACTAGAGCAACATTAGTGTTCTGGAAATACGTAATATTAAAAACCATCTACTAAAATCTCTTACCTATGATATTTGTCTCCCGTTGCATTCTCTTACATGAATTTCATGGCATGAGGCATACATGTAAAAAACCAGTGATTTTGGCAGC